AAGACGTCTTAATATGTTCTTAGCTATACCAAATTTCCTCTCTGCGAATGTTCAGACCCTGAGACTCTAGATAAACAAAGTTCCACATATATACAGCCAGCTCTTGTTCAGCTGCCCTCAGGTTGCTGTGCTTGGCAAATATACTCTATGATTCAGTTCAGGAGAGGTTAATTCAGCAAATATTCCTCTGGGAAACGGGGATGGTCAGACAATTAAAGTTGGAAAAAAAAACACTGGGCCTCTGAGGGAACTGTATCGACAATGTTTGTCCTTTGCTTGGCCCTTACCCCTCAGGTCTAAGCTCTCACAAAACAGTCACTTCAAGAGACCTTCAAGTCCTTGACTGGAAATGGCTAAAGGAAAATAAAATGATAACATGGAGTAATATGTGACCTGCTCTATCGAAATCAGTCGCATTGACCCGAAGACACATTTTGAGTTGTATACACTGTTGGAAAGAGGAGATTCCTAGCTTTCTAATGATATCAAGATTGTTTTTGTACTCCAAATATTAAGCAAAATATGTCACATTATATAACGACTGTCACCGAGTCATCATTTTGAGAAAAAGGCCTTCAAAGTTTCCTCTTCTCTGGAATCCATCGATCTGATTGATTATTAGCGGAGCAAATGATCAAAATAGTCCGGAGGGAAAATATTTCCGTTTGGATTACTGGTCTGGGGGAAGCTCGCGAGTGTGTGTGTGTATGTGTGTGTGTGTGTTTGTGTATTTTTGCGTTTGTGTGTATTGTGTTTGTTTCCCGGGGAAAACACTCACGAGAAACACCGGCTGTTGTTATGCTTGCTGTGACGTTAAGTTACTCCGTTCTCCGCTTGTAAATATGCCGTTACAAGCTTCATAGTTGTATTTATCATCTAAATTTGCCGAAACAAGTTTAATATTCTGAAAGCCAAGACTTTGTTTAATTGAAATCAGATGAAAACAAACTGTAACGGACCCCGCCGTGTTATCTAGATAACTATATGCCTTACATTCATAATTTCAGCCGGAGGGAGGGGAAGCAGCGCTACGGAAGAGCAGATTGCGAGCGAGAGGTGCCTGTCATCTTCCCTTCACAAGCTTCACAAATGTATTTATCGTGTGATTTTGGAAATAAAAGTTTCATATTCTGAAAGCCAAGACTTTGTTTATTTAAAATCAAACAAAACACCCGAACCCCGAAAAAATAGTTTTTTACGCAAATCCACGTTTATTTTGAAATGAGCCGTTGCGACATCCGACTGATTTCGATAGAGCGGGTCACATATTTATTTTCAAAATACAGTGTGCCATATTTTGAATTATATATGTATGAAGGGAGTTCGCAATATACATAATTATGCTGGTAACTTCTGCCAATTATTAACTTTTAGTGATGCCGATAAGTGTTTGTTATAACTTTATTTTTTGATCGAGACACTTATACTAATGGACTTCCTTGGACCTCTGGTAGCTGTCGAATGTTGTTTTGAAACACTGATTTCTCGCTGATTTCAAGACCTGTTTTATGGCTGATGAACACTGATAACAGGTTGGTTAGAGAACACCCTAACTTTTAAGTTACGAGCCTGGAAAACCAAGAGCCCAAAGACCATAAGAAGCTCTGTAGAGCTGAGAGGAACTGCAGAGTTTGGCAATCATTTTCCAATAATTTGGTACAATAAGCAAACCCTTTCAACTTTACACATTCATACAGTAAATTGTTGATATATGATGTAAATTGTTGATATATGATACAATATTATTGTTGCTTTACATGTATTTTGTGCTTGTTATGGAAGAGAGACGCACCACACAACAAGTTATTTCCAAAAAAGGTTTAAAATGACTGTAAAATAACAAAATATTGTAAGATCCTTCCTGTTTGGAACATGACATGGCAATTCTGATTATTTCCTCCCCGACTCAAATGGACATCAGATACAAAAGAGCAGCACAGGAATCGTCTTTGGGGACCAGCAGTGCAAAGGAAACTCTTATCTGTCGGTTTTTCTGCCAACTGTAGCCAGTTTTTTTTCCTCTATCTTTTCTAACCCATGAAGTATGAGACAGTAACCTGTCTCCTCTGTCAGTATCTCAGCTTTTGTTCATTGAAAATTAAATACAGTAATGTTGAACTGGAACAGAAAAGGGCAGAAAACGGCACTACGATTCCCACAGAGGAAGAAGTGCGAGTTGTAGCTTGTGTCAGAGACTATTGCAATATTCCGCTTTTCTGTAAGGTCAAGTAATTTCAAAAGGCTGGATTTGTAAAAAAAAACGTAAAAACAGAGAAAAAGACATAGAAGACCTAAAAACCGACACCGAAGATCTAAAAACATGAATAAAATAGCTGACACACTCCAAAAATAAATGCCCCTTGTTCAGCAATCAAATGGTAACAGGCAGTGCTTTCATTTGTCATGCCTTTTTCAGGTTTAGTTTTGTGAGTAACTTTAATATTTCAACCGAGCTGAATTTTGCTCTGAGTCGTGTTATCTTCTGCAAAACAAGATCTGGGTCAATTTTAGATCATTGCATGCACAATATATAAGATTATGCAAACCCCCCTTATTCAGTCCAAGGTTTTTGAGACGCAAATTGCCAAAAGTAATTCAGAATTTCAAAGAGCATCCAGAAAGAGAAACATTATGCAACAATGACAAGTTAATGTGTGTTATCATAAATGTCGACAACTGAAAACTGGGATTAATATGCCAGTTCAAATCAGAGGAAAAAAAAAGTATAAAGGCATATTTGTCATCAAATGTGTTGAGTAAAAGTCTCCAATGTCTAGTTCCTGATTGTTTGCAAACATTGCACAGTTTAAGAAGCAGCAGCTGATGAAATAAAGTAATGTGGGTTTAAAGCAACATTTGGAGGTTTTAGGACCGAGTGTTGCTTTTTAAGTGTCAAAGAGCCTTGCATCCATAACATATTGCTCATTGTATTCAATAACCATGAGCATACATCTATATATCCATATAGCATCCACACTGCTTAAAGTAACTTCTGAAATGAATTAAGTTGACTTATTCCTTAACTCCTATTTAATGCACTCTTATATGAATCCTTTGTTCATTGTACTCTAATAGAACCAATCTTAAAAGGGCCCTATTATGCTTTTGGGGGTTTTCCCTTTCCGGTAGTGTGTTATAAAGGATTTACTGAATGTAAACTGTCTGCAAAGGTTAAAAGGTTCACGGCAGAGGGAGTTTCTCTCCCACACACTCCCCCATGCCTATAACACCCTGAATGTACTCCTTTTTTTACTTCCGTAAACATGACAACATCACTATGTAACACTTGCGCTTCTGTTGGCTAGCGCTATAACACATAATCTGTGATAGGCGTGACATCTCTAAAGCCCCTGTCACACTGTCCCGAAATTGACACCAGATGTACACACGATAAAGGAAATGTTCAAATTCGGCTCTGATCGTAACAACATCGGGCCATTCGTGAGGGCATCTTAAGCCATCGTATGACCGCCGGTGGAGTTTCTCAGGCTCCGGCAGCAACTTTGTGAGCGGTGGCGAAATCTATGGCATGCCAAAAAATTGCCGAAGGACCTTGCGAAGATTCATTCAGGTTTTCGTGTTGAATTCGTGTGTCCACTTTGCCTTTCGTGAGGGCATCTTGTCAAATCGTGTCATCTTCGTCTTTACTTCATGTGATCATCGGTGCCATCGGGCATTTTTCGCCTCAAGAAGACAATACGAAGGAAACAAGAAGCAGCCCGATTGTCTTAGGAAGGCAACACGACCACGTGAAGCCGTCGTGTAGCCATCGTATTATAGTACGATGACATCGAGATTGCATTTATTGCACAACAAAATCATGTAAACATATTATGTAAATGACCCAATTTGTGTTCTGTGAAACTGAAAAGGATATTACAGTGTTTTTGTTACTTTCTTTGCAGTATGTCTTAAATGTAATTTAGGTTAACTTCCTGTTTTATTTAGATGCTTTTATTTTGAAGGCGAGTTCACGCTGTTGACAGGAAGTTGTTGTTGCTATGGAAACAACATGATGGATATAAGTAATAGCTTCTAATCTACATATAAAGACGGAGAAAGTAAAGAATAAAGTGTATGTTTAAATGTTAGCACCCCCCGAAGAGACACAAGCTCTTACGTTGAGTCTGGATACATTCTAAATCATCAGTAAAGTCTACGACCATATTATCGTGTGTGGTTCGGGTGCCATCGTGTGGCCTTCTGTAGGCATCGTACTTGCTTCGGCTGTTGCTTGGCTGTTGACCAACTTCGGGGCCATCTTCGTGCGAAATTCACAATTCCATATTCGTGTGTCCATCTGGTGTCAATTTCGGGACAGTGTGACAGGGGCTTAAGTGGTTGACCAATCACAACAGAGCCAGCTAGCTAACCAATCAGAGCAGACTGTGCTTTGGTTTCAGACAAATATGACAGGAAGGTGAATAACTACACACACTAAAATTCAAGGACTCATACTGATGCTGAACTGGTAGAACCACATGATTTATTTATTTCGAAGGTCAATTTTCTTGTTTTTTTACTTTTTAGTTAGCATCCTGAACATGAGGGACTCACCAGTAAACATATTGAATCGTAAAAGGTCAGGAGCAAATGGAACACAGCGGGACGGAACAAAAAGGTTTCATGTTTTTCTCAGGTCGAGGGGAGGCTTTAGGAATTGAAAGTGCCCTCCGAGGGAAGACCTTAGATCTGGTGCTATTACTGTACAACTGCTACACATGGCCCCTGATGGAGAGGGTATTGGAGTGTGAGTTAGCGCTGGCTAACAAGGCTGACAAACTGTGACGAAAGAGTAGAGGGAGAGGATGAAGGGAGGGGGCTTAGAGGAGCTCTAATGAAATCTGGGAGAGGAAAGAAGGGGGGAGACAGTGAGACAGCAGAAAGGTGAAACTGAGCAGTGATGAGTTAGCATGTTTGATGGACTGTGAAATTGCAGTTAGCCAGTCTAGCTGCTGCTCTATGATAATTAGTGCTAACTTGCACAGCTGTGTACTAACCTCCTCCCAGCCCCTCCCATTGGTGTAGGAGATGACATCGAGCAGCGGATTGGACAGGTAGCCGTCACTGTTGAAGGAATAATCCCGCCCACCGATGGATATGTTGTTGAAGTACCTGTGAGAGGAAACAGAAAAACAGAGAGGTGAAATTAGAGATGAGATTTTATGAACCTTCAAGATCCATGTAAGGGGAAAATAAGTTTGGTTAACAATGCACCATGTCCCATAAAAGTAGTCCTACTGTATGTCACCTGTGGAATATTAGTGAATAACAGATGCTAAGTGGATTAAAGACAACTTTTACTGCTGCTTAAATATTCCTGTTTTCTTTTGCCATTTTTCATAGATGTAGCTAAATGTCGTGCAAGTTTTGTAGGAAGATGATGCTCCCTTCGTCAATTCAGTCCACTAAACTCTGATTGTGACTGTTAGGCATCATTGGGTCCAACACCAGACATATTTTAATCGTTAAACAATTTGGGCCAACAATTTAGAGGTCAACCTGTATGTATAGAGTAATATGCTCACAATTTCAGTGAAATAGAGTTGAACATATCCCTGACAACTTAGTCTTGGTTTCAAATCTCGCTCTAAGGTTGTACGCAATTGTCAGTTTTAAAAAAAGCATCTTTCAAACTGTTGTTACTTAAAATACTTTCTGTTTTAAGTAACAAAAAGTTACTTAAAACAATAACTTTTGAACCTGTTAAGCCCTGAGCCTGTCTTTCATGTCTCAGGCTCGAAAATGACATTCACAGAACAAATGACCATATCTTCCCTTCTAAAAGGGTTAAATGAATAATCTTTTTTCTCAAAGTAATGATAAACCTGTGAGTTGGATGTAGAAGAGTCAGAATCAATATAGATGTTTTTTATTTTAAAGAAAATTCAGATTGAACATAGTAAAAAACTGTAAATTATAGTGTCCGTCCAAAGATAATTTTTTACTTATAGTGAAAACTACCCTTGGATGATGGTAAGGTAGACTAAAAGCTTTAGGAATCCAAAGTACAACATATAATAAGTACCCTGTATCAAGATTGATGCAAAACAAGTGACATTTGACCTATTTAGAGAGGTTTAGCAAAAAAAACTCTACCTCTGAGGTGATTTGGGTGGAAATGGGGGTTTTACCGTTTCTCTGGAACCCATTTGTCGATTTTGGTGATTGACATCTCTTTCTGACCGTTAGAGCCAATAGAATCAAAGGGGAATTTCCCCAAACACACACATGGTAAAAAAAAAAGGTGGGGGCTTCGCGCATGCAGTTTTGCATCAGATTGAACCTATCTCTCGCTCTGACATCTGGAAACGGAAAAGCAGTTTTATTGCTTATGGATGATCAGAAATCATTTCAAAGGGACACAGACACATTGGATTAACCTATGGATTAACTTCAGCATCGTTTTTATCGTTTTAATGCCATTGAAGACTACTTTTGACCAGACTACGACACAGGTAAATCATGTTAGCGTTTTTAGCTACCTAGCGCCACATGTTTTGATGTCTGTTTTGCGAGTTCGTATCATAGAGTGATAATGTATGTACCCATCGATTCTGTGTCATCTCACGATCAGATCGATGGGTTGGATGTGCAGAAAGGATAAATAATAAGGTTTTATGAGTGAGTTTCGGTGCAGTAAATCTGTTAGCATTTTTCGCTCGTTGCTAATTCAGAGGCTCAGCGTTAGCATTGTGGGTTTTCTTTTGAAAAAAAAATTAAAATTATCAGTTAGATGAGTTTCTTCCCATTACATGGATATAAAACATTCATAGTTTATTAAATGAACATGCCCTCAGACACTGTTTCCTGCAAGATGTTGCGGGAGGGCCCTGGTACCGGGGTCTCTCGGGCTTAATAGGTTAAGTAACTTTAGCCTGGAGGAACTGGTAGTCTAGTTTTCGTGGCTTTATTTTCTTTCCCATAGGGTTTGGTTTGATTTCTGGTTAGGGGAGGGAAGCTCTGGGTCCTACGGCCCATGGTGTTGCTGGCTCGCGTCCCCTCCTTCTTTTTGTTTCTTTTGGCCAGTCCTCCAGACCTCGTTAGTTTGCCGGATGGCATGTGTGAGTAGCGGCTGTACATTAAATAAATGATCGCTACTAAGTGCTGTTTTTTTTGTGTATTTTTTTGTGTGTTTTTTTTTATGTTGCGGGTGTCCCCACGAGCCACTACCACGGAGTAGGGGGCGGGTCGTAACACATACAGCAGAGAAAAAACATAAAGTAATGTGTCCCCGTATAGCATTTTAAGAGAAGAGAAAGAGAAAATAAAGTCAAGTAATCAAAGCAATGGAGTGAAAGGCGAGACCTTCACTGCGGGGGAACAAACATCAGGGATTGTTCGCTAAAGACAAAACACATTTCTGTTGAGATGAGAGGAAATCACATTTTTGAGGTGTAAAGACCGTGGGGGACGCAAATAGTCGAGAAGAGGTTAAACAGGGAGGGAGAGATGACATGAAGTGCAGCATTTGCCAAAATGTTTCCCCCATCTTCTACTGCTTTCTCGTGTCACACACACAGCAGGAGTTTTGCAGTGTGAAAAGCAGAAAGAGAATAAACATTGGAGGACAAATACCAGGAAAAAACAAAAAGCAAAGAGTCTTGGTGTGAAATGGAGATAGTGTGAGAGAGAAAGAGAGAGCTTTACCTTTGATGTTTTTAATAAAATATCTACCTTAAAAGCATCTTGGAAAAAAAGCACATCAAAGCTTTCTAATGAAACCACTCCACAAACACACCGGCAGCCTCATTGAAAGAAAGCCTCAGCATCTTAGATAATTCTTAATCAACTGCAATCAGACTTCAAAACAGACAAAGCCTATGGAAATTGTGCAACACAGCTAGTGTGTGGCTGCACTAATACACAGCAGCAGCAAAACAGCATTCACCCACATCAGAAAACATCATTATGTCATTCTAGACTTTGAGAAGAGCTGTTTCAGTGGAAACATTCGAAACGTCGTTTTCAGTGAAGACAGCAGTGATCAGTTTGGCAACATGTCTTTCCAATTTATTTTTAGATAAAAGGCAGCTTAGATGTGGGCATATTGGTTTTCTGGAAGTAATGGTTCAAAAGTATGATGATTTATTTTAGAAGAGGTTGATCAACTGCACGTTAGCAATATGCTAATAACTACTTTTAATAGAGTCAGGCAAGTTGGGAAACTATCTTAAGGGTTTGGTGAAGGTTTTGCACATCGACCAGATCAATGAAGTCTTGCAGGAGAATAGGGCAGAAACAGTCCTAAAATAAATAAAGAATATATATAAATCTAAAGAAAAATGAAATGAAAGAGGCACCTTTTCTCCAAGTTCTCCAAAAAAACATATGCATATTTTGTTATGAAGGTGTCAGAGCAAACAGGCTGCCAGATTTTCTGGCGCCAGGGAGCAGTCGGGAGTTTGGGGTTCAATGCCTTGCTCATGGACCCCTCAGAAGTTCCCAGGAGGTGAACTGGCACCTCTCCAGCTACCAGTCCTCACTGCTTTTTCTTATTGGTCCAATCAGGACTTGAAATGGTGACCCCTTGGTTCCCAAGCTAAGTCCCTACAGACTGAGCTACTGCAGCCCCAAGAGGCATTATGATGAGAGTTATGGTTAGCCTACTATGCTACCCATTGCATCTGTAATTATATCCACAAAGGAAGAGAGAAAGTAACAGTTGTCCTTATTTGGAAGGACAGGCACATTGGGAGGTGGAGGTTTCACCATATTGTTTTAAATAAATGTAAGGTTGTTTTTAGTTGATGGCTTCTTTAACCATGTTGTTAAGAGGTCTTTGTAATAGTAAAAATGAACCTGGAGCTTGGTGAATTTTCCACAATCGATCTGCCTTCTGACATTTACCTCAGAAACAACAAATAGTGTTATCTAACAAGAGGAATGCATCGTTAAATGATAAAGAATTCTGAATTGACCAGGTGCCCCTTTATCTAAAAGAAGCTCAATGTGTTTTAAATGTGTGGATAAGTAGAGAACTCAGCGCTTGGCTCAAAAAAAGCAGAAAACCTCTCAGCTGAGAGACAATTTAATTTGCGGAGGAAGTTAAATGTTTTCTAGACAGAGAATCTAAATAAAAACACAAGTTCAACAAAAAGCATTCATGGTTAGTTACATGCAGCTCCACAAAGTAAAAATAATCAATATTTTAACCGAGCGTAAATAAATAGGTCCAAGGTTTGACCCCCTAGTGTGAATATAACCACAACAAAGGAGCTTCCTACTTTATTTAACATTATTCCAGCCCATAATCCTTAATGGTCCACTATGGGATTTCATTTGTTGACTGTGAATGATGTATCAAATGCAGCGGGGAGTAAAAATAATGAAAAACAGAATTAGAAAGCAGCTTACAGAAGCTGGAAATCCGGATTTTATATGCATATCCCAGCTATCATATTCTGCTTTATAATAATAATAAGGGTATGAGCTTATCCCTGCTATTGTTAAGGAAATGAGATGCAGCTCCTATAGGTGCAGCTGATGGAAAGTCACAATCTTTACTGCACCGTGGATTCACTTTGGCTTCATTTCCCAAAGGGGTAACAGTAAGGTCAACTCTGAATCTAAAATAAATGGGCAGTTCACTAATTGGTAGAGAGATATTGGCTTCCCTTATGGTATGCTAATGTGGTCCTGGGGTATATCCGAGACAGCTAATTCACTGCACAATATATTCAGGAAATATTTATTGAGGTAGAATTGAATAGCATCTGTCACATGTTATTACCAACAATTATAAACAATATTATCCAGCAGAAATCCAGACACTGAAATTGCAACTTGCATACAAGTAAACAAGGAAGTCGAGCCTGATTCGCTCCGAGGTTGTATTATTATTCTGCCCTACCATATAATCATACTGTGGTGCTTTGCAGCAGTCTCCCTTATCATTTATCAAGTGTCTGATAGGTAAGCCATTATCTCAGAGTCAGATCCGAATATCAATGCATATTATCGTGTTGCCCAGCAGCTGCTGAAATAAAAACCCAGCCGGAGCACGTTCAACACGTCAGCTACAGATGTAACCTCAAATAACCATGCAATCTCCGAGGGCACTTAGACAAAAAGGTACTCCCGTCTATTCCTCTGAATTCACCAATTCCGTGACT